GGGTTAGGTTTTGGGTTAGGGCTGGAGTCACTGCGGGTCATCGCGTGACAACAACCCAGAAGACAATGACCCAGAACCCAGTGATCAGGAAGAAGGAGACATGTCCAACAACAACAGCAGAGCAGTAAACAAACCCAACCAATTTGAAGGGGACAAAGGAAAGAGCAAGGAATTGCTGGACAACTTATACCTGTACTTTGCCAGAAACACCAAGAAGATCCAGACCAACAAAGATGAGGTTCAATGTGCCCTTTCATATATCAAGGGACCTGCCCAGTTCTTCATCCATACAATCATCACTGATGCAGAAGAACCCATATCTGATTCTGACAATGCGCCACCCATAGGATTGCCTAGTTGGGCAAACTTTAGAAAGTCCTTCATCCAGACCTTTGGAGTAGAGGATGACACTCAGGCAGCACTAAACAAAATCAGTAAATGTACCTGGGTAAAGTGCAGAGGAAATGGTCTTCAATTTGTCACAACTCTTTGACCTCTCTTACAAGCTAGTGGATTAAACAAATTAGGGCAAATTTGAGAACTCCAGTGTCTTATTCCTCCTGCTCTCCTGATCAAGATTGCCACACAACCACCATTACCAGTCACTGCAGTAGGATATCTCAACAGTGTCCAATATATCTGCCAATCTATGATCAATATCTTTGGTGACAGACCTTTATTCATGCCATCTGCCAATCGCTCTTTTGGTCGCAACAAGTTTGTACACTGCAATCGGGCAGTTGAGACCAGGGATGGATCATCAAAGGAAGTATCATCTAACGATCAGTGGATTAGACATCTGTCAGATAAAGATCACAAGGAGCACATGGAGAAGAAGTTATGTTTCAGATGTCACAAGCCTGGACATCAAAGCTGCCAATGCCCAAATAATCATATCAGGGTGATTGAATCGCACGACACATCTACTCAGGAGAAGGATGAAACCAAGGATTCTTCCAATGAGGAGGGGATAGCCAAAGAATACATTCAGGCTATATCTTCTGAGAAGTTTTTTTGAAGTCTTCAATCACCGTGACATCAAATCAAAGTACTGGCACTGAGGACTATTTATATCAGGCAAGATTAGCTCATAAATCTATTTATTTGCCCTGTATTTTAAAAAACTATGCCAAAACTGTCACCACTGAAGCATTGCTCAACACAGGAGCAATGGAGAATTATATCGACATCTAATTTGCTCAAGATCACGACCTCCAGCACCAGAGTATTACACCCAGACCAGTATTCAATGTTGATGGATCACCAAATAAATCCGTGGACATCAAACACAAGGTCTTCTTCACCATATCTTTAGCTGGGCAGCTAATGAAGATAGAAGCTTATGCGACAGTACTTGATAGGAATTCAATTATCCTAGGTCTCTCATGGTTCAAACATTTCAATCCAGTAATCAATTGAATCACCAGGTGAATGTGCTTTTGTTGGGATCAGCTTCTATGAGCAATCAAGACTATCACTAGTAAAATCCCAGAATACCTAAATGACTTTCTTTCTGTATTCAACAAAAGCACAGCTGAACGACTACCAGAATGGAAACCCTGGGATCATGCAATCGCTTTGGAAGCCAGTTTCAAACCCCAGTGAGGGAAGATTTACCTGTTATCACCAGCAAAGCTCAAGGAGTTGGATACCTTTATCAAAGAGAACCTGCGGAAAGGCTATATCCGTCTATCAAAGTCCCCTATGGCATCCCCATTCTTCTTTGTCAATAAGAAATCAGGAGATCTATGACCATGTCAGGACTACAGAAAACTCAATGACGCTACCATCAAGAATGCCTACCCTATTCCACAAGTAGAAGATCTACTAGATTGTGTTGCCTCTGCCAAGCCAACTATGTTCACCAAACTTGATCTATGTGCAGGATACAACAACGTGCGCATCAAAGAAGGCGATGAATGGAAGGGAGCATTTATTACTCCACGGGGGTTATTCGAACCAATAGTTATATTCTTTGGAATGACAAACTCTCCAGCAACCTTCCAAGCTATGATGGATGGTATATTTGTAGATCTGTTACTAGAAGGATGGCTAGTAATCTACATTGATGACATCCTCATCTATTCTACCAATCATGCAGAACACCAACAATGCACTCAGTTGGTTCTCCAGCATTTGAAGAAATCAGATCTGTTCCTCAAACCTGAAAAATGCTTCTTTGATATATCAGAAGTCAAATTTCTAGGGTTTATTCTCCAACCAGGACAAATAGGAATGGCAGAAGACAAGGTATCAGCAGTACTGAATTGGCCAAAGATAAATAGCGTCAAAGCCCTACAACAGTTCCTAGGCTTCGCCAATTTCTACCTCTGATTTATCCCAGGATACTCTAAAGTTGCATGACCCCTATTTGACCTATTGGCAAAAGGAATCAAGTGGAGTTGGGCTGATGATCACGACAAAGCCATCAATCAACTCAAAGAATGTTTCAAGACTCGACCACTCTTGGTGCAGCCTGATGTTACTAAACCATTCCAGATAGAATCAGATGCCTCCCTAAAAGCTTCTGGCAGCATCCTCTCTCAGAAACAATCTGATGGAAGATGGCATCTATGTGCTTTCCTGTCTCAGTCCTTCTCTCCCATAGAACAACAATATGAGATCTATGATCAAGAACTCTTGGCAATCATCAGATGTTTCAAAGCCTGGCAACACTACATTGAAGGATGTGTCAAACCAGTGGAAGTTTTGACAGATCATATGAATCTCACATACTTCAAAGACCCCCAGAAATTGAATCCTTGACAAGTGCAATGGGTACTATACCTATCTATGTTCAATTATTGCCTTCGACATGTCCCAGGAACCCATTTGGATAAAGCAGACGCCCTATCACGTATTGATCAAGATGTGTCTGAAGGGGGGGGTGAACTTCCTATGGAAGAAGTCCTTCTTCCATCAGAAGTCTTCATTCAAGCCATTCAGAACCTCGATCCCATCAACACTGATATCAAACAATGCATCTTGACCTGCAAGACAAAGGACAGCATCACCGATCATGGACTCCGGCTGGTATTACAGCACACTTCATCCACAGACAAGTGCACTCCCTCAAATTGGGACATTCAAGATGATCTACTAGTATTCAGAGGACGAGTCTACATACCCAAAGACACCAAACTGTTGAAATATAATAGTGGAAATAAACCTTACCTGTATTGACTAGACACAAGGCAAGTAAGAAGGCTTAAGAGCTGTCTTATAAATC